TGCAACCACATTTTCAAATTTCCAACTATCTAGGCTTTGGCTTTCATTCACTGATCTTTCAACAGCTCTCAATCTTTTCAACTACATCATGAACTCCACATTTGAAGGCATTAAAACACATCCTCACCCTGTCTGTGCCCCCTAGTATGGCCCTCATTTCCACTGTCAAATTCAATTGTGCAGAATTGAATGTCTATGGCAAACAATTGACTGCTCTATTCATCACCAGATCTGACTACAGCACATAAAGCCCTACCCTGCCCAAATGTCATTTGCTAAAACATCAAAACTCACCCAGGAAGTACAAAGATAAGTCCTGTTTCTTTTCTCCAGTGTGACCTGCTATCCTGTACCATTCCTTTCCTAAACCCCCACCTCAGTAACAAATGCAAGAGTCTTATGTACTTTCTTCGCTGTCACAAAGTTTGATCCATGAACTGACTCCACTACATCCCTTGTTTCTTCCAAACCACTGGGCAGACTCCTGCCCCAACTCCAATTCCAGGTGTTCACCAAAGATATTCAACACTGTCTCTCCATCATCATTCTTAACGTTGCTATTGTCTCTTGTGTGTTACATTGTTCAACATTCAGGAACTGATGAGCAACCACTTTGTTTAACTAAGTATTGTGAAGGTCAAAGCCATTTGTCTTCATCCCCACTCAAGCTCTGTTCTGTAACCACCAATTCCATCCCTCTCTCTGGTAGCTTCTTCATATTGGGCCAGGGTGTTTGCAACTTTAGGTTTCTGTGTGACCCAGTGATGACATTCTGACCACATATCCATCCCATTGCTAAGACTCCTTTTGTAGTATCACCCATCTCCATCCTTCTTCAGCTCATCCACTGCTAAAACCTGCATTCATGACTTTTGTTACCTATAAGCTATTCCAGATATTTTGGAATGGCCACCCGTCTTCCACTCAATATAAATTTCGATCTCGTTAAAAATTCTACTGCCCATATTTTAACTCACTCTAAGTATCATTCACTCTAAGTATCATGCTGCTAAGCTTCTGCATCTGCATTTTCTCTTCATCTGGCAACACGTTAAATTTAAAATTCTCACCCTTATATTCAACTCCTTCCATGGTTCACTCCTCCCATCTCTGTAACCTCCTCCAGGCCTACAACTCTGTGCTCCTCCAAGTTTGACATCTTATGCATCCTCAATACTTATACAAGGAGGAGCGATGTAAATAAATAAAAATGTTGCTTCCTGTTGTTTTCTAACATGAGCTCCTCTTGCTTGCTATCACGTCCAGGTATTTTTCAATCGTCCCATCATCATAGCCTAATTGAAGTTTGACTTTGATCTTTACAGCACATTCAATTCACCAAATGTATCTGACATGAGCTTGTGCAGTTCTGCCTATATGATGTGGCTGAGTTAACGACTTAGATAAATATCAACATCTGGGAATAGCCCCAGCAGCATACCTGGATCCAAAGTTATATATTCTGGTACTGTGCATATCGTGTTTGGTCTGATCACATACACATGGGTAAGTTCTAGTTTCTCGAATGTAACCTCTGGCATGAAATTAACTCAGAACCCAATTTTACAAACAGAATAATGGTTGTGTCCCATCAAAATTAACAACTGGTATTATTTCAATCTTAAAATAACTCAATTGCAATTGTTCTTACAGACACATTTTCTTCACAGCCATCTAAGAATAATATTTTGGACCTCCTCTTTCAAATTATTTCTGAATTTTTTTCAATGGCGTGAATAAACTGAAGAAAAAACAACCTAAAAAAATCTGTTTTTGCAACAAGATTTGTTTCAAAGTACTGAAAATTTGCTGTTGTTATTCTCCTAAGCATCAAGTATACAAAGCCTTAGCTGGTTGTTTCCTTCAGCTAACCAGAATCAATTGAAATTATCTCGTAATTGGTCAAATTATCTATCTATACAAGTCAAACTCGTGAATCAGCAACGGCTGAAATTCAATACAAATTATAGCTGATTGCATTCATGTTAACACAGTTTTGAATTAAAGAAGGAATCTTATGTAATGTTAGTGGAAAAATTTCAACATTTCCTTATCTGCTGTAAAAAAATGTTATCAATAATGGCACAGGATTAGGTTTTATAATAATGAATAACATTATTTTCATTCCAATTCAGAACTGCCCTATTTTATATAGAGAAATACCTTCAATGCCAGCACCAATAATATTACTGCATAAATATGAATAGGTCATTATTTATCTTAAATTAAAATACACCTTTTACTTAAAATTAAGTTTTTAGGTAAGGTAGGGTTTTGAAAATGCTGTGCACAACACAACCAACTGTTCCTAATTGTTTAAAAGGACCCTGCAAAAGTCAATTAAAAGTGATTATGATAGATTAATAATAAAACATTTAATAATTCAGGTGACAGTTGAAATGCCAATTTGCAAATGGCTGTCCCCAAAATCCAACTAAAACTATAAATGAAGAAATTAACATTTTCTTTTGAAGACTGCAGCTAACCTTGGATTCTAAACAAACATGCAGCTTTATGACTGGTCTGGTTACTTCTTCAGGATTGCAACTTAAGGGAAGATTAATACGTGTGCCTATACATATGTACATTGAAAGAGCACCAACTATGGAGGGAACTGAACAGTAAACTTTAGAACAGTGACAGGAGAGGTACAAGGAAGCAAAGAGAAAACAAGGATGAAAAGGATTGAACACAAAGTTGCAGAAACTGTTGAAATATAAAATGGATAGAAATTGAACATCAATTATTCTTTCTAGGACTAAAACGTTTCTTTACTGTGCAAGATATAGTGCAAAAAATTCTACATTTATGGCTCCACTACCATAGGAGTTTTCAACCATTTCACTTTTGAAGCCACATGCCCCACCATTTTTCTTTCCACTTAGTTAACATGTAATGTTTTCCTGGGCTCATTAACAATTCTACCAAGGTGTGCAGGTGTCTACAACAAGCATGTGCATGTGTCAGGCTCAGTGTTCATTACGGCTCCATTCTATTTAAATTAATAGCCAGTTGCTGAATTGTAAATTGGCAATTAAAGATTGGTCATTACGTGGTGTGTGGTCCATCACTGGAGCGGATAGATTAATGATAACACAAATAATTTTGACAACTACATCAGCTCTTGACTCTCCGCTTGCCTGTAATAAATGAGCCAGGCGGAATGTATTTACTGAAGATGCATGCCATCTCAATGAGAACACAAATTCCTGGAATGTGAATTCCTGCTTTTGAGCTAAAAATATGCCAGACTTTGCCTTTAAAAGTAAGTTTCCCATTGGGCAGTACAGAAGGGCAAAAGCTAAGTCATTTCCAACAATTTTTAAAGTCAAAAATCACCCGACACCAGGTCATAGTCCAACAAGTTTATTTGATTTCAAATAAACCTGTTGGACTATGACCTGGTGTCGTGTGATTTTTGACTTTGTCCACCCCAGACAAACACTCGCACCTCCACATCATAACAATTTTTAACACTGTAGTTTAAAAAAGGATATGGAATGTAGTGGAGCTATGAAAAATGTTGCAAGAAAAATTTCTGGGGGGGCATCATGATTTGCATGAGTAGTGTAGAAATATAAAACACAGTCTGGTTTTCCTAATTTTAAAGTAATTTGTGACCTACTAACAGCAGTATGATTTAAAAGTCCAGTCACGTAAGTCATTAGTTGATTTGTTTGCTGCAAAGTAGCATAAACCAAAGACAGTGGATGGAGTTTAATACCCTCACCCATGATGGGTTTGATGGTAGGGGTGTCATTTAATCCCACTTAAAGCCACCTCCCCGCTAACTGAGATTCTTAAGTAGACAACTAATGCCCACTTAAGGGCTTCTTTCTGCCATTATTGACATTATGTCAGTAACGGGCACAGGTCTTGCCCTGTTGGGAGTATAACAAGCAAAACTGTGTGGGGCACCTGCCTCAAGGGCTGCCCTTTCACATTGAGCATGCCCCAGCCCTCCCCACCATGAACAGTCTGCTAAGGGGCTCCATCCCATCCCCTGCCCCTCCTTCAAGACCCCGCCAGGGTCTCTCTACACCGCCCTGTCCAGTGTGAACCATGCCTACACTTACCTGGCCCCGAAGTCCAGGATTTGGAAATTGAGGGCTGCTTGTAGCCCCAGTCATGGTCATTGTGACCAGCGGTGCTGCTGGGACTACAGAGTTGCTGGCCGATCACACTGGCTTACAGCACTCTGAGATGGGAAGGCAGACATCTTCTTGGAACATTAAACGGCTGCATTCCCACCAACTCATCAGATGGTGGTGCGAGCAAATCCGTCATCTGAAAAATCCTGCTCATTATGTAAGGAGTTCAAAATATGCAGAAATACATTAAAACCTGAAAGAGCAGAAGCAGCTTTATCAAACAAGAGCCACATGATGTTGCTCAGCCGGTGTAAAGTTTTATGGTTTACTGTATAGTACTGAAACCTCCCTGTTCCTGTCTAGACAAGATATGCTGAATGGTCTCCTTCTGATTCCATCATCTTTTGCCCACAGATTAAAATTAAAATGGTGGTGGGAGGGTAGAGGATGGAAGAGGCAGTGGAAGTCATGATTCTTATTTCAGAAGAGAAAAACTCTCTTGCAATTTTAAATTAATTGTTTACTAAAATACATCCCAATAATACCTCAATCTGATTGTTAAATAGATGGACTAACAGAAATTAATAACCAAAACCCCCACCGCCAGGCCTGGAAACTCTTAAAACACTAATGACTGATATGGATAGAAGAGGTTTTGAGATGCCTTCATTTACTTAATGACTCGATTAATATATAGTCTTTAATTTAACAGGCTTTAATGCACTTTCTACGTATTGTACACATTACAAACTTCATTTTATGGAATTCATAGATTCTTCATTTACAAAGATTATATTTTAATAAAAACTATAAACATGACATTCCATATTTACATACAATACAGTGAGGCGAAGTTAAATACAAATGAGCTTTATAAAAATAGCTTTTCACAATTCACTATTTACATACCATAAAACATGGTTTATGTTTGTCTATACTTGTTTTGGAGAAGAATTTCAAAAGCCATTAGAAAATGTGTTGCATTTTTTTCTTGGAATGCTTCACAGGTTTTGCAGTTCTTCTGTATTAAAAACACAAGTTTAGAATAACAACAAAAACTTTAAATAGTAATTTTAATGTAATAAACAGTGACTAACCTAATCAATTATTGAAACACAGCACATCCTACTTTTAAAATACTGCACATCAACTAATTAGCAGCAGGACGGGATTAAATCGCAAGTATAGGAACTGGTGAGAGAACTTTGATACAGATGTGCATGTAAACAGACAAGGCAGAATAGAAAAAGGGATGAAAGGATAAACACAAGATAGGTTCTAAATGTTAATCAAAAATAAATCAGGGCATAGAACACTAAAAAGTTACTCAAATGAAACATTTAACTATACTGCAATGTCATTGATCTGAGGTATGGATTGGAAGTGTGGAAGTTGTCTATTACAATTGAAAGACAACCCAGACAAGTCCAGTGAACAGTAAAAAGGAATCAAAAAGTTGTTGTTATACTGCAAATATTTCTTCTTTGATCTATTTACAGTGATAATGTAAATATGGTCTTAATACATGTGTTCACAATCTCAGCAAACTGAGGAGAACAATCTGGAATTAAACAGAAAGACACTTATGAGCCTTCTGTAACTTGTGCCAAAGCATTCAAGTGCCTCTCTAGGTTTACTGCTTAAATTTCCTGCAGGGACACAAATTGGAGACAACATTACATGCATTTTACTGACGTCAAACTATACTCAAATTTCTTGCTCAACTCGTGAGCTCATGCCTAACTAAGCCTGTGGATAAGGTTTTAAACTAAATAGTGGGGAAGTGGATTCAATTGCATAGAATCCCTAGAGAGCAGATGGAGGCCATTTGGCCCTCCAAAGAGCATCCCACCCTATCTCCATAACCTTGCATTTACTGTGGCTAATCCACCTAGCCTACACCTCGCTGGCTACTATGGGACAATTCTTTTTTAACACGGCCAATCCATCCAACCTGCACATCTTTGGACCGTGGGAGGAAACCCAGAGGAAACCCAAACAGATACAGGAAGAATGTGCAAAGTCCACAAAGACAGTTACCTGAGGCTGGAATCGAGCCTGGGTCTCTGGCACTGTGAGGCAGCGTGCTAACCATCGCGCTACCATATTGCCAGTGCCACATGGAAAATTATGGAAAATGTTAAAGGGGGGAGGGCTCAGCAGAGGTTACTAAAGTTTCCATAACAAGTAATAGCACAGAGAATATAAAAAGGCTCAGCAATCGAACTTCAGGAACAGCAGATATGGGGGACAATTATGACAAGGGAGTCAGTTAGTGCAGGACGGAGGGTGTTGTACTTAAATGTACATAGTATACGAAACAAGGTAAATGTGCGTGTAGAGCAGATTGAAATTGGCGAGTACAATGTTGTGGGTATCACAGAGATGAGGCTGCAAGGGGATCAGGGCTGTGAGCTAAATATCCAAGGCTATGTGTCCTATTGAAAGGACAGGCAGATGGACAGAAGGATGGGTTAGTCAGAAATGAAATTAAATTGATAGCAAGAAGTGATGTGGAGTTGGAAGGCATAGGATCTATGTGGGTAGAGTTAAGGAACCACAAAAGAAAAAAGATCTTGATGGGAGTTGTGTACAGACTTCCTAGCAGTAGTCAGGATGTGGGGAAGAAAATAAACCAGAGGATAGAAAAAGCATTTGAGAAAGACACCATTACGATAATCATGAAGACTGGGAAAAATAGATTGCTAGCAGATCCCAAGGTAAGGAATTTGTGGAACATCTGTGAGATGGTTTTTTTGGAGCAGCTTGTGGCACAGCCCACCGGGAAGCAGGCAATTCTGAATTTGGTGATGTGTAATGAGGCAGACTTGATTCGGGAACTTCAGGTGAAGGAACACCTGGGGGCAGTGATCATAAAATGATAGAATTCACCCTGTAGTTTGAGAGGGAGAAGCTGGAATCAGATATACCAGTATTACAATTGAGTAAAGGTAACTACAAAGACATGAGAGAAGAGCTGGCCAGAATTGATTGGAAGGGTAGCCTAGACGGAAGATGGTAGAGCAAAAACGGTAGGAGTTTCTGGGGATAATTTGAGAGGCACAGCAGAATTCATCCCAAGGAAGAAGAAACATACTAAGGGGAAGACAAGACAACCAGGGCTGACAAGGGAAGTCAGGGACAGCATAAAAACAAAAGAAAAAGCATACGATGTGGTGGTGAAGGTTAGTGGAAAACCAGAGGATTAGGAAGCCTTTAAAAACCAACAGAGGATAACTAAAAACACAACAAGGGGGACGAAGATGAAGTATGAGGATAAGCCAGCTAGTAATATAAAAGAAGAATGCAGAAGTTTTTTAGATATATAAAAGCTAAGAAGGAGGCAAGAGTGGACATTGGACTCTGATTACTTCACACAGATGCTGCCAGACCTGCTGAGTTTCTCCAGCAATTTCTGTTTTTGTTTCAGATCTCCACCATCCACATTCTTTGCTTTGTATTATTGAAGTAATGGGAATCAAAGAAATGGCGGAGGAACTGAATGGGTACTTTGCATCAGCCTTCATGGTGGAAAACACCAGCAGCGTACAGAACTTCAAGAGAGTCAGTGGGCAAAAGTGGGTGTAGTGGCCATCTCAAAGGAGAAGCTATTGGAGAAGCTGAAAGGTCTGGAGGTGGATAACACACTTAGACCAGAAGGACTACACCCTAGAGTTCTAAAGGAAATAGCTTAGAAGATTGTAGAGCATTGGTGGTGATCTATCAGGAATCACTGAAGTCAAGGAGGGCCCCAGAGGAATGGAAAACGGCTAATGTAACACCCCTGTTAAAGAGGGAAGGGAGGTAGAAAATAGGAAACTATAAGCCAATGAAATTGACTTTGGTTGTTGGTAAAATTTCAGTCCATTACTAAGGATGGGATTGCAGAGTACTTGGAAGTGCATGGTAAAACAGGGCTGAGTCTGTATGGTTTTGTCAAAGAGGTCATGTCTGTTCGAATTCCTTGAGAAGTTAACATGCAATTTAGACAAAGGAGAGCCAGTGGATGTGATCAATTTGGATTTCCAGAAGGCCTTTGACAAGCTGCCGCACAGGAGGCTGCTAAATAAGACAAGAGCCTATGGCTTTAGGGGCAGGTCACTGGCATGGCTAGAGGATTGCCTGACTGGTGGAAGACAGAGAATGGGGATAAAGGGGTCTTTTTCAGGATGGCAGCTCACGATTGATGGAGTTCCGCGGGGGTCTATGTTGGGACAACTATTTACATTATACATTAACAAGTGAATGAAGGAACTGAAAGCATTATTGCTAAATTTGCAGAGGACACAAAGGTAGGTGGAGGGACAGCCAGTGTTGAGGAACTGGGGAGGCTGCAGAAGGACCTGGACAGACAAATGGAATACAATGTGGGAAAGTGAGAGACTATGCACTTCAGCAGGAAGAATAATGACATAGAATATTTTCTAAATGGGTAAAGGCTTCAGAAATCTGAAACACTAAGAGTCCTACTACAGCGTTCTCCTAAGGTTAGCATGCAGGTTCAGTTGGCAGTTAGGAAGATAAATGCAATGTTCACATTCATTTCAAGAGGACTACACAAGGCCTTCTTCAATTCCTGATAAAGGTCTATAATTAAGGGTCATTGTGATCTTCAAGCCTATATTTAAGTCTACATCTGATTGCCGTGCATTGCCTGTACAGCAGGTGTACAGTCAACTCTGCAAACAAGCACTGGAATATTAATATATTAAGAGGATGAGAACGACCTCAGTGCAATGTAGAATGGGTGGTTTGTACCTGATTCATGTGACAATAATTGCATCCGTGCCCAAAAACCTAATCATCAATATATACCTGCTCTGAACAAGTGGAACTGACAGTAATCTACTAGTCTCTGTAGTTATGATCATTAAAATATTAAGATTTGGACACATTATAATTATACCCCTAAATCAATTATGCTCAATTTTCTTTAGATCTTTTTGGTTATTTATTTGTTTTGTACCCTGATTATGCATATTCCTGAGCACAGATTCACAGGAAACTCATCAGGCATATCGAAAGGAAAATGTGTCTCTGATTTCTAATCACAAAATGACTTTAGACATGATAAGAGCACAAAATGCAGGAGGAAGAAGAAAGATAGAAGAGAGATGATATAAATGGATAATACTCCACAATCTAATCTGTGAAAGACAAGACAGCTCTCTATTCTATATTATTGACAGGGTCAAATATTCTTTGGTAGGTTATTTACATATTGTATCCAATGATTTGCAATGTTCTTTGCAAGTCAATAAAATGTTAAAAGTGTTCCAAACTTCACATTCAAAGAATTCCAACATATTGGAAAAGCATGGGTACACTGCTTGAGATTTAGTCCACTGCTTTCAAATGGATGAAATATGCAGAACGCTCTGATAATGTGCCTATTGAATGCATGGCTGCACCAGTGACATACGATCTCTGAATAATTTGTCCATTGTACACTTCTTAAATAAAATACGTTACTAGGAACTAAAAGAAAATCACTAGAGTACAAAGACTACCTGATTTTGGTCCAATTTAAATACTTCTTGTACAATGTCCTTCACTGTGTCTCATTTATCAACCAATTTTCTACTAGAGAAATTACAGAGGTACTAACGATTATCCCTTTGCATGCATTTTTTGACAATAAAATTAATTTGAAACTAGTTATTTATTTATTGTTTGGACATATATTAGCTAGAATCTAGGTTTGACAAAATTTCTGAATAAAAACACCTGTTCATAATTTCATCATCGTTATCAATCAGAGAAAATTCTCCTCATTCCTCCAAAGTACTACCTCAAAAACAGTAAAGCATTCAGTTCTTTAATGAAGCAACTAGACATGTTTTCAAATACCTGTCTCTGGGGAAAAAAGAAACAACTATCACATGGATTAAGGAAGGAAAATAACACAGCTTATTTGCCTTGATGAATGTGAGGGGTCCTACTGTCAGATGTAAACAGGACAAGTGAAAGATTGGGACTGATATTAAACAACTCCTTTTTTCAAGTAATTCCCTGGTACTCAAAGAATTCTGCACTGCAGATAGCTTACCACGAAAGGTTATTCACAGATACAGTGACTCAGGAACTTACCGGGTTAAATTTAGAAAATGCTTTTGCATTTCTATTCATTCTGTTCATGTTTTGTAATTCGTAAGACTCGAGCGCAAATTCAAACCGCAAAACATTCAGTTCTTGAATGAAGCATGTAAAAGCAGTTTCAAAACAGTCATTCTGGAGGGAAGGATAAGCAAATTGGTTCATCAGAAAGGTTTCTTTATTACTTACGTATGCATCTCAAAAGAATTTGTATGTTTGTCACCCATTTTTAATTTTAAAAAAGTAATTTTAACAGATCCTTATGATTAGAAAAACATTAGTTTGTATCACCTCAACACGCAATCACTAAGTCAGCTGTAATGCCAAGATAAAACGACAAGTGTTAGATACTTTTTCTTGTTTCCTGCCAGTTGCAAACCAGGCAACATACAAAGAATGGATGGGAATGGACGATCCAGACTGAATAGGTCTAAACTGATGCAATTTGGAATCAAAACGGAAAATAAAAAATTTCAGAAATAATTTTAAGTCTATTCTCAGTGAAATCATGAATTTCCTAGAAGTGTAATACTTTATCCTTTTTATTTTAATTCCAGGAAATGGAAATGGTAATCAAGAAATTAGCTCTCACTCCAGTCATAGGCTCATCATCACCTTGTCCTGTTTTCCTCACATCCCCTAACCCCAAACACCTCACTGCTCTCCTCATGTTCCCCCCCTTCGCAAATGGTCTTCTTGCACCCTCCACTCCTCTTACATCCCTCAGCACCCTTCTTTCAAGTCCCCCATGCCAACTCAGCACTATTCTCCTAATGGGTTCACTGCTCTCCCCGCCATTTTGTCTTACATTCCCCTGGTCTCCAAGCATCAACCCATTCACAGAGTGCTTCACTGTTGCCTTAACTTCTCTGCTTCCCTGCCATCCATTCTGGAAGTGAGCCAACAGCAAAGAATACAGTGAAAAGCATTGTGATGGAGCAGTAGCAAGTAAGGAGAAATGGAGAGGGGAGCAAGGAGGAGGAAAAGCTGCTGTCAGATAAATTGTCAAGCTTTTGACACTTTTAGGGTAACCAAAGAAATGCAGATATTTTTGCATGCTATGCATCAAACAGTGCAGTTGCTCCAGTAAATAATGTACAAATTTCATTTTCTAACTGAAAATTAATGTATTCTGGCACTGCAATATTTGGAGCAGTGTTTTGTCATTTCTCTCTAAATAGATGAGTAATTGCCTAATGCCTAATTTCTGATTGACTCAGTGCTGTTACCCACATAACTGGTGCTGCCAGATTCAAAGTTATAATCGTAGTATTATTAATTAATTGAATGAAACATTCAACAGGAATGTTACCTGAAGAAAGATGATTGATAAAAATCTTCTGCAAATGTTGTACCAGTTAATAATTCTTAAGGTAGTATTGAATTGCTCTGGGAAACTCCACAGATCTATCCAAGTTAACTAAAGGTTAGCTGTCTAGAATATCCCGCTCAGAGAAATCAAGACACTGGCAAGTGCCTGTGTATGTGCAGAAAGCGTTCCCCTCGCATTGCTGCCCTAGTGTTGTTGTTGAATCATAGTATATTTGCAAGCCACTCCATTCAAGGGCAGCTAGGGACAGGCAAGAAATACTGGCCAGTCAATGATACCCACATCCCACAAGAGAACAAATAAAAAATATATACAGCATTGCTTTTTAATTACCATCGTCTACAACTTACAATTTTCTTTCAGCATTACATGAAGAAAGCTTAAAACTAGCTGACGCAATATTGGAAAGGATATAAAACAAAGAACTGCAGATGTTGGATATTCGAAACAAACAAAACCAGAAATTATTAGAGAAACTCAGCAGATCTGACAGCATCTGTGAAGGGGAAACAGTGCTAATGTCTCAAATCCAGTTCTACAGGGTCTGCACAAGATCCAAAGGGGACCAAGAAGTGGGTAAAACATACCTGACCTCATCCTTACCAAGCTGCAGATGCATCTGTCCATGATAGTTTCGGTAAGAGTGACCACTGCACAGCCCTTGTGGAGACAAATCTTGCCTTCACATTGAGAATACCCTCCACTGTGCTAATCGGGTCAGATTTTGAACAGATTGAACAATTCCAGATTGACCATATGAGGCATTGTGGCCCATCAAAAGCTGCAGAATTATATCCCATCCCAACCAGCAACCACTAAACCCAGCATATCCCCCACTCAACCATTACCATGAAGCCAGGGAATTAACCCTGGAAAAATGGAGAGTGCAGGACAGCATGCCAGACACAGCACCAGGCAGACCTAAAAATGGGGTGTCAACCTGGTGAAGCTACCAAACAGGACTATTCACATGTCAAACAGCATAAGCAGCAAATGATAGACAGAGCAAAGCCACCCACAACCAACAGATCAGATCTAAGCTCTGCAGTTCTGCAACAACCAGTCATAAATGGTGGTGGACAATTAAAACAACTCACTGCAGGAGGAGGCTCCACATTTCGGCAATAGCACTGAAGACTCGTGCTCCAGAACCTGCCACACCCCTAGCCAAGCTGTACCAAAACAGTTACAACACTGGCATCGACCCAACAATCTGGAAAATTGCCCAGAGATGCCCTGTACACAAAAAGCAGCACAAATTGAACCTGGCCCAATTACTGACCTGTCAGTCCACTCTTGACCATGAGTAAAATAATGGATCATGTCACCAACCGTGCCATCAAGCATCACCTGTTCAGCAATACTCTGTTCAGCAATGCCCAGTTTGGGCTCTGCCAGGGCTACTCAGCTCCTGTCCTCATTGATTAAAACATGGACAAAAGAACTGAATTCCAGAGGTGAGGTGAGTGAGTCTGTTCTTGACTTCAAGGCCACATTCAACCAGTGTGGCATCAAGGGCCCCTAGTAAAGTTGGCATCAATGGATACTGGGGCAATCTCTCTGCTGTTTGCAGTCATACCTGGCACATAGAAAAATGGTTGTGTTGTTGGAAGTCAGTCAACGTAACTCCAGGACGTCTCTGCAGGAGTTCCTCAGAGTAGTGTCCTGGGACCAATCGTCTTCAACTGCTTCATCTTCCCTCCATCGTAAGGTCTGAAGCAGGGATGTTCACCTATGACTACACAATGCTCAGCACCATACGCAGCTCCTTAGCTCATGCGTAAGTAGTCTGGCCTTCTGCCCATTCGAATAATGGCAGTTTTGTTGCAGTCTTCTACTCCCAAAAACTTGGTGCTGAATTATGAGGCAGGTAATTTTAATATCTCCAAATCACTGAACACTTTTCCCATCATAAAAGCAGTTAAAATCCCCAAATCATGCCAAAGAACAATCAACTCTGTGCCAAGAAAGGAGAGGTTCAAGGAATCAACACTTCCCCTAACTTTATTAGACATTAATGTACAAGTGTTTACAAAGAGCCATACCTCAGTCCTATCACAGACAACACCAAGATAGGTCACCCGGTAACAAAACTAGGTTATAAGTCAGGTAGACAAACAGGAGGCTGGAAGAACACAGCAGGGGAGGCAGCATCTGGGGGAAAGGAGCAGTCAACATTTCGGGTATTACTCTTCTTCAGGACTGGATGTGGGGTAGGGGGAGCTTCAGATAGAGAGAGGGGGGAGAGGTGGAAACAGAATGGTGGTGATAGGTGGACACTGGTACTACAGGTACGGTACCTACTACCAGTGTCCACCTCTCATCACCATTCAGCGTCCACCCCTCCCTCTCTTTATCTGCAGCTCCTGGGCAAGACCTGTGCTCCTTTCCTCCAGATGCTCCCTCCCCTGCTGTGTTCTTCCAGCCTCCTGTTTGTCTACCTGGATTCCAGCATCTGCAGTTTTTTTGTTTCTAACTAGGTTATAAATCAGCCTACCCTCCAGCATAAATTGTCAACTTCCTTCATATGGCAGCAATATGTTGGAAATCATTCATTTGCAGTCTGGACTTGGAACCTGGATTTGCCTATGTCTGGTCATTCATTACTATTCAGAATGGCACATTTTGCCCCAGCAAAAAAAAAATTTAGAACACTTCAGTAAAATGACCAATCAAGAAGTGTGGAGGGAAAGAATCTGAGGTGTTATTGTGAGGTTGTAAATCTATTTATAGGAGATAGCTCCATCATAAATGCGGATACAGGGACTTGTGTAGAGACGTACATATATATCATTAGACCTGTTCCCCCATCATTATCTCACACTCATTGCTATACCTAAGCCTGTGCTACAACCGCAACTATTTATTTCATAGGGCGACATGATCAGTTTGATTATTCCATTATTTATTAATCCAGTAGCAAATTATCTACTCAATAATAGGGTACAAACCTTCAGCTTATTTTATTGCAATAAGTTATGGCATTCCAGTGCCTAATACTTACAGGTATCTGTTCAGGAGTATATAATTGTAATTCCTAAAAGTGAAAAAAAAGTACTTGATGAAAATATAAAGCATATTTATTATTCGAAAATGTGTGCAACCAATCTTAATTGCGAATTAGCCCTTTTATCTCCATATGGAAAGATCATAGAATTCCATCAGCAACTATTCTGATTGCTTGTTTAAAATGATGGTTTTAAGAACCGTATATGAATAGGAGCAGAAAAAGGTCATCTGCCTCATCAAATCTGCTCCATCACTCAACTAGGTCTTAGCTAACCTCCTACATCTATCCCATTTTCCCATAGTATTCCCATATCCCCTAATATCTTTAATATGTAGTAATCTATTGATCTTGATCTCAAATATACTCAATGACTGAGTCTCCACTGCCTTCCGAGGTAGAGACTCAAAAAAGGTTCACCATCCTAAAAATGAAAATGAAGAAATTCCTCTTCATCTCCATTCTAAGTGACATATGTCTTTTTCTGAGACAGTGTCCCCTAGTTCTAGGCACCCCAACCAGGAAAAAGATCCTTCCTGCATCTTTTCTGTTCAGAATTATATACGCTGGCCTTGTTAACAAAGCTGGGCAGCTGTGGAATAGTAGACGGAGAAAATAGACAATGAAGCGAGATAACATGATATGAGGTTCGCTCCTCATTACAACACATGAAATTTGCTAATGTTATCAAATACAAATACACAACATGTTATAATGATCGTATAATGTGTTAATAAGAAAAAGAATCTTTTGGCACATTTCTTCTTGCAATAAGATTAGTGGTTGGGATTTATTGCATTTAAAATAACTTGTAGTAAGATTATGGAAATAATTAATTGGATAGATAAGGTGAGGCAGTATCAAGTAGCGTGCAGTTTGGAAAACACCAACTAGTTGAAGGAGGGGATTGTTCATACTTAAGGAGTCTAGTGAGGGAGAAAAAAGCTAATGAATCTATGATTAGGTACAAGAGTGCATTTTAGGGAATATTTGGGAATTAGAGTTGTAGTGATGAATTCATTGTGTGGTGTCAGGAAGTTTGAAATTTGGTGGAGGGCCATCAGAATAGAGATAGCAAAAAGTGAAAATTGTGGGTTTGTGAAAAAGGCAGTTAACTTCTGATAACAGCAAAATATTCCAGATACTTGAAATCTGAAATAAAAATAGAAAATGCAAGAGAAGTTCAGCAGCTTTAGCAGCATATGTGGAAAGAGAAAGAGTTAATATTTCAAGTCCAATTTGACTTTTTCAGAACTGCTATGAAGAAGAATCATATCACACCCAAAATATTAATTCTATTTCTCTCTCCATTGATGCTGCCAGCTAATTTCCAATAATAGGGATTGGAACATACTGAGAGGTCCTGAATAAAGTGAATTAATGGAAAGAAGGACAGAGAAGAATTCTGACATCACTGAGTGGTGGGTGTGTCAAAACAAATTATGTACATTGATAATTTATAAAGGCTAAATTGATAATTTTAAAAACCAAAATCATTTAAAAAGGTTCTTAGCATTGGACTTCTTAAACTAATGAAACTGTTCAGAAATGGTGTGTTACTGCTGCTTAGAATGGAAGCATGTAAGAAAGTGGGCAAGGGGAATGAAGGACAGAATATAATATAATAATGGGTGAATTATGAGTGCAATCAATAAATATCAGCAAGGACATTGGGGATCTGCAGTACTGCACAAACTTCTTGACAATTTTCAACAGAGTGACCTAATTCATTAGTCTTCAAGTTTTATTTCAGGACAGGGCTCCACTAAAATAAGCTGTCAGGTTTCATTTGACCATCTAGTAATGACAACATTGCTTCACTGCTTTTTATTTTTTCCCATGTTAGATTCAACTGTCTTTCTTTCCCTTTGTTCTTTTATTTTTATTTGGCACTTTTTCTCCTGTATTTTTGTTGATCACTTACATTTGTGTACAGTTCCTGTCAACGTTTATACCCCATCAGAAATTTCAATGTGCACGTTTATCGTGGAAACTACTTATCACATTTTAACCATTCCCTCCCTAGGAGGATGAAACTGTAGTGTAAAATCTACAATTCCATTGTAAATGCCAACATAGCAATTTGTGCTGCATGCATGTACACACACAACCTCACCACCTACCCTGCTACACATGTTCAGTAAGACAATGAGGAAGGGGCAAATACTTACTCAGTAGCTACATGATATTATAGGACTGTATTGTCAGTTTTATTGTTCTATTGGGTAATAAACTACACAGTGAAAGAGATCAACATTTCATCTGTTTAACAGCTCAGAAAAAGTTGGCATTCCATTGTCTAATACTTACAGGTACATCTTTAGGAGGGAATAGACCCTAAAAAGAAAAAGGAAGGGTTATTCTCTAAAATGGCTTTAATATATCATAGTTGTGCAGGAAGCACTTTATCTTCATTTGCAGGTTCAAGGATGTAACGTCATTCTACAATCAGTGTCCTTTCATAAATCAGTTATCAAAACCGTTTTCTACTTGTATAGAACCAGTGTTTTGCTGCCAGCAGGGTGTGTTATGGGAAGATACTGTGAGAACAGAAGGTGAAAGTTTTGGAGGGGATGGGAACAGAGAAGAAGCAGAGGGAGAGTGGGGGTAGAGAGGAGAGAGGAGAAAAGACGCACACAAAAACAGTAAAAGCAAGAGAGAGGGAGGAGAAACAAAAGGAAGGTCAATAAAAATTAATCAAATTCAGATGAATAGATTTTTTGATTTGATTTATTACTGTCACATTTACCTGGGTACAGTGAAAAGTTTTGTTTTGTGTACTGTACAGACAGATCGTACCACACAGAGTGCACTCGGGTAATAGAACAGAGCAAAGAATACAATGTTATGGCTTCAGAGAAGGTACAGAAACAGCAAGACCAACATTAAATTTAAAATTTGAGAGATCCATTCAGAAGTCTAATAACAGTGGGGAAGAAGCTGTTCTTCAATCTGTTTGTACATGTGTTTAAGCTTTTGTATCTTCTACCCAATGTAAAAGGTTGGAGGAGATTATAACCAGGGTGGTGATGGTGGTGGTGGTGGGGGTGGGGGGTCTTTCATTGTGTTAGCTGCTTTCCCAAGTCAGAGAGAAGTGTAGATGGAGTCAGTGGATGGAAGGTTGGCTTGCGTGATGAACTGGGCTGTGTTCACAACTCTCTGTAGCTTCTTATGGTCCTGGGCAGAGCAGTTGCCCTACCAACCCTTGATGCATCTGGATAGAATGCTTTTTATGGTGAACACCACAAGAAGTCACTAATAGGTCTAAACCACCTCAGTACAATATGTGTGCTTTGTGTGGTTTCTTCTAAAACAGATCTGGCAATGGACTCATGAAAAAAAGTTTAAAATCCATCATAAGCTTGAACTCATTTATTAATTTTCAATATATTGCATTGTAGAAACGGCCTCTGCCAAATTTGATGAGAGAGAAGTATGAAGGTCAGGAGGATGAAAAGAGAAGGCAATTACTTGGAACATTGACCCTTTACATGTTTAACATATAAAGGGGCTAACTTCTTAAACAGTCTTTTAAAGACTCCAAGTACAAAGCTTTTGTGATTTACACATTAATTGCTGACTTCGGAGGCAGCAGAACTGGAGGAAACTGAAACATACAAAGCGAATAAGATGCAAGGTGCAACAAGACCAGAAAAAAAGAGTTTCTTTAAAATACAGTAGACTGCTGATTTCAGTGAATTAACAGCAACTTTCAACAATTCATGCTCACAAACAAATGAATGAACTAAAAATTTCAAGAATTAAACCTATTTTAGAAATTAAAGGTGACAAAACACTTAGCAGCTTGAACAGTTCATACAAGAATCATACAATCCCTACAGCGTGAAAACAGGCCCTTCAGCCCAACAAGTCCACACCAACCCTCAGAGCATCCCACCTAGACCTATTCCCCCATAACCCATCTAATCTACACATCCCTGAACACTATGGGCAATTTAGCATGCTCAATCCACCTAACCTGCACATCTTTGGACAGTGGGAGAAAACCAAAACACCTAGAGGAAACCCACGCAGACACGGGGATAATGTGCAAACTCCACACAGACAGTCGCCAGAGGGTGGAATCAGACCTGGGTTCCTGGTGCTGTGAGGCAGCAGTGCTAACCACTGAGCCACCATGCCACCCTCTGGTTATAAATTAAGAAGTGGAACTGATCAGAAAATGGCCTAATCAATGCAATTGCTTGAATTCTTCAGAGCAACTACTGACCAGGGCACCTTTATCCTTATCTCTCAGAATTGTTACCACTCAGAAGAAGGAGGCTATTTAGCCCTTTATGTCCAAACAAGGTGTTCAAAATGCATAGTGACATGGTGCTCTTCTCCTGCCTTTTCCCCATACCCTTGTGCATTGTTTCTATTCAGGTAATCATTTAATGCCCTCTTGAATACTACAATTGATTCTGCCTCCATCAAACTTTCTGACAGTGTATCCCAGACCCAAACCACTTATGAAAAAGCTTCTTACGTCATGGAAGTCCAAGTATACCACATCAATAGCATTAGCCTCAATGACACCTTCTGTTACCTCTTCAAGACAAACTCCAGCAAGACAGTCAAATGTGATTTCCCCTTTAGAAATCTATGCTGGTTCTTTGTACCCACCCCATATTTTACCATCTGACTGCTAATTATAGATCTGTAACAGCTGTATTTATCTTCACAACCAAGACTGGGGAAGACCAAACATTCACGGCCAGTGTCCTTGCAATTTTTATTCTCACTTCTGCTTGGGACTGGGTTTGTCTCAGGAATAGAAATTTTCCTAGATCAGTAATAAAGCCGCTTTTTTGCTTGATTTAAATATACTGAGGGGTACACTAAAATCTAGCTGTTTAATCTTCAAGACACAAGTAAATAATGTGGACAAAATGTTTACACTGAAATGATAATGCTCAGTAGCCCTGACTGCATTCAACCCCTCAATTGAAGAAGATATTTTGAAGTCAATAATACATTACAATGGAATGGCTACAGAAAAAAGTGCAAAAAGACAAAGCAACATTTACAAGATCACCCAATTGTGTGCCAAAGACAACTTGGGTGGAAGTTTGCAATAAAAATCAGTCGAAAAAGTTGAAACAGGAAGTTAATTCTTACGAAGAAAATGGACTCTTAGTGGATGAGCCCAACATGTTCTGGTAACATAGCGCTCTCTTTAATCTTCATTCCCCACGAAACAGAGCACAGATTCAGCTTTACAATTTAATTTTAAATTGCTCAACTGTGATGAATTTTACCATGTTACTTTCACCCTTGTATAACCAATTTTTATGAAATGCTGCAAATAATCTAATACTTTTCAGTTGCAACTGTGGATATTAAACTAATGTTCGACTTTGTTATTTTCTTTAATTGGAGGAAACCTCATACTCACTTCTTTACGTTTTTCCTCCACTTGTTTCTAAAGAAGATAAAAAAGAACTTTTAATGAAATGAAAACTTTTCTTCATAAAATATAAAGCAAAATGATTTTAGAAATACACTGAATACTAACTTGCATCCCTGTCACCATTTGCAACATTTCAGTCACCGCTGCTGGCCTCACTTTGCCTGTATTATGATTGTGAGTTGCATCTGCTTTTGGTAGACACACAGCAAAATTGCTGGAAATGTAGGAAAAAAAATACTTAAATCAGAATATACAAATAACCTCCAGATTTGCTATTTCCACACGCATGGCCTATGTATTTCAAGTGCCAAGTTATGATCTTGCTGTATTATTGTAATGAATAATATTAAAGATCTTGAATGAGTCTTTGTATAAATTGTCCAGCTTAATTTTTCATTTCACACCATTAGAGTTCATCGCTTGCAGGCACAGTTGAACAATTATTCTCAACACCCCTCCTTCCCATCTTGAAGTAACGATATGACAAACATTGATACATTGTGGGCGCATTAAATGCTCAGTTACTCATTAATAGGTCCGTACATCTAAATTACATACAGTTCAGATTTTCATTTAAAATAATATCCTCAAATACGAAAACCTCTCTCACAAAACACCAGCTACAAAAGTATTAGCTGAAAGGTTATTGCAATACATGTTTTTGCACCAGGCAGCTTATATTTTTTTGTCTGCTTTTGTTAAGGCGGCTGGATGTAAAGCAGAATGATCAATTGCTTTTTATGATCGAGGTGTCTGCATGCTTTACTTCCTTGGTCATTGCTCATAGGTTACAATTATGTGCAACACGTGTGAAATTACTGGACTTTAGCAGCATAGGAGCACCAGAAACAAACATTGTATGGTGGTGGTGGTGGGGATACCGGTGATTATAATCAGCTTGATTCATCAGAATATCCAATTCAGGCCAGAGGTAAACAAGCCAAAACAGCTCAACACTGACACAGGGCATGTCACTGTAAATGGCATCCAACCATGTTCACCATGTACTGGATGGAGAGCAAATGCCTAACCAGGAGACCCAACATTCTTGTCAATTATTCCAAAATCAAAGTACAGCTCACAGCTACCAGCCAAAAACTCAGAATTCAAATGAAAATATTGTGCTTCTGATCAATTCAGGCAGAATTCCAAACATATATGAAAATAAAAGACTGCAAAGAATTGTAGTAGATGTTTATTAATTAAATTCATACATTTAGGAACACCTTAACAGTTTCAGTAGAAGGACTGACTTCTTCAGCAATGTATATTTTTCTAATTTAGGGAGCCCCATTCCAAGTAATCATATGATATACCAAACAGAAGGATTTGTCATCCACAATATAGTGGAAGTTGGGCTGGTGACTGTAGCTCCACAAGTTATTCAGTTCGATGCTAATGATACTGTGTAAGGAAGCATCATTATTAGAGGAATTGCATTGTAAGGGTTAAATAGGGAAAAAGTCAAGCAGTTTTCAATTAATCAACCTTATACTAGATTAACCTTACACATTTTAGGGCATAGTGCCAGCAGGCATCTATTAACAATAATTAATGGCACCAAAACATTCTAGAGAGACCTTGGGGAGAGACCGAGAGATGACAAACACCCATAAAGGTTGGGGGTGCAAAAATAACACCTGACTAAATGAATCTTGACTGTGAAGGAGCAGACTTCAACGACATTAGTCTATGACCTAGAATAAACATTGATTACTGATGTTTTTAAGGAGTAATATTGGAGAATTTGGAGAATGAGATGATCCTGCAGTAAAAATACTGCCTTTTCCTGTATTCCTCACAGTTCTTTGAGCTAGCACTTGAGTACACTCTTACTGCATGTGCTTGATTAAATGATCAAAAATCTGTAACCAGAACATCTGGTGCTGTGAGCAGGGACCATTGGGTGGCACTGCAAAATAGTATAGTTTACTTTCCATCTATAGCTAGTACAGAAAGCCAATCGAAGGACATTTCAGACTGAGTATCAAAAAATCTGGAAGAGCACTAAGTATAGAAGTGCTAAGAAGGGAGAGGTTGCGAACGAAGGTTCTGTGTTGGTAGAGTTCGTACAGAAGTCATTGTTGAGCCAGAAACACTGTATTGGTAGAATTTGTGCAGATACTGCAGTTCAGTCAAACTCCATGTTGGCTGAATTCACATAGAAGTCAGAGGTAAGCTGAACCTGCATTGGTAGAACTCACACAGGTTTCAGAAAGTAATTTACCGGTGGTATTTTCGTTGATTATAAGAAAAAAATTAAAATGCAGTCAAGAATGGAGAGAATGGGTGCTACAGGTTTCATCAAGAGGTTTCTAGCTGAAGAACAGTCAAAAATAATCTGGAGAATGCTAAAGGGGAATAAATGTTAGTAGATGAATCAGAAGATGGATAAGAACAAAAGGGGATAATTTATACTTGCAACTATGTAGATGAGCTAATGCTAATTTAGGAAGAAACCGCAAGTCAGTAGTTACAACTGGGGAAGGTAAAGAGCAAGGTGAATTCAGCGAGCTTAGAAAAGTTAACAACTGAGTATGGGAAGAAGTCAAGTCCACTCCAATTAAAGGAATTGCAACTGCCCACTACACCAGAGAAGGTGTTACCAACCAACCCTCAAATTATAAGAGTGGTTTAATTGGATTTAAGTTTTCAAAGCAGAGAAACAGCAGTCTTAGATTATAATTAAAAACACATCAAGTAAAACAGGAAGTTACAAAGTCACTGGAGTATTCCAGAATGCCACTAATAAATAGCTTAACAGAAAAGTTAGGAGCATCAGTCATGATAATTGTTTAGCTCAACTGGCTAGATGGCTGGTTTGTAATACAGGGTAACGCCAAAAATGTGGACTCAATTCTTGCACTGGATGAGGTTATCAGGAAGGACTTTCCTTCTCAACCTCTTCCCTTCCTTGAGGCATGGTGATCCTCACCTTAAACCACTACCAGTCATCTCTCTCTCTAATGAGAGTGGTTCTCTGGTCTGCTAGGACTGTGAGGACTTTCACATGAAATTTTAGAAATATGTGGAAAATACAAGAGTACCCTAGATAGGTTTTCAAAAGAGACTCCAGTACAAATTATGGTTTTGATTGAAAAGATTAAAATATTCAAAATTGAAATTTAAAGGTTTGGAAATCACCATAGAACCCCTACAGTGTGGAAACAGGCCATTCGGCCCATCAAATCCATGCCCAACCCTCCAAAAAGCATCCCACCCAGACCCACCCCGTACCCTATACCTGCATTTCCCACCTTAGACACTATGGGCAATTGAGCATGGCCGATCCACCTCACCTGCACATCGTTGGACTGTAGGAGGAAACTGGAGCACCCGGAGGAAACCCATACAGACACAGGAGAATGTGTAAACTCCACACGGACAGTCACTTAAGGGTGGAATCAAATCCACGTCCCTGCCGCTGTGAGACAGCAGTGCTAACCACTGAGCCACCATGCCACCCACATAATGTGAGATGTACGCTTTGATTTTGTTTCTGGGCTTCTTATCTAAGGAAAGATTTATGGGCATTGGAAGCAGTCCAAAGAAGATTCACTAGGCTGGTACCAGTATGGAAGGACTGTCTTATGAGGAGAGGGTGAATAGTTTGGGCCTGTACCCTTTGGAATATAGAAAAATAAGACACAACCTTATTGAAACATACAAGATTCTTAGAAGACTTAATAGTGTAGATATGATAGGTTCTTTCACCTTGTGGGTAAGTCTAGGTCAAGGGGACACCTCAGAATAAGACAGAGATGAAAAGAAATTTCTTCTCTCAAGGGCTGTAGAGTTGGGTCACTCAGTATATGCAAGGTTGAGATAGATTTTTAATCAACAAAGGGATCAACGGTTACAGGGAAAAGGTAGGAAAGTGAAGTGAGGATTATCGGATCAACCATAATCTCATTGAACGGTGGAGCACATTCAATGGGCTAATTGATCTACTTCAGCACCGACATCTTATGGTCTTGATAATGGGTCAGGATACAGAAACCCAAGTTAAGACAAAGGAAAGAAATAAGGAAGCGACGAAGAAGCAAAGTAAGAGAAGAAAGTAGGTGAAGGGGAGAAAGGAAGGAGGGTGAAAAGAAAGAAGAATGAGAAAACACAAACTGATCAACTCCAGGATTTTAATACAGCTACTCAACTGTGTGATTCTACTTTAATCTTCAACTAAAAACACATCACAGATTATCCCCCTCGTCCTCACGTACCACCCCACCAACCTCCGGATCCAACGCATCATCCTCCGACACTTCCGCCATCTGCAATCCGACCCCACCACCAAAGACATCTTTCCCTCCCCACCCTTATCTGCTTTCCGGAGGGACAACTCTCTCCGTGACTCCCTTGTCCACTCCACACTCCCCTCCAGCTCCACCACACCCGGCACTTTTCCCTGCAACCGCAGGAAGTGCTACACCTGCCCCCATACCTCCTCCCTCACCCCCATCCCAGGCCCCAAGAAGACTTTCCACATCAAGCAGATGTTCACCTGAACATCTGCCAATGTGATATACTGCATCCGCTGTACCCGGTGTGGCTTCCTCTACATCGGGGAAACCAAGCGGAGGCTCGAGGACCGCTTTGCAGAACACCTACGCTCGGTTCGCAATAAACAACTGCACCTCCCAGTTGCGAACCATTTCAACTCCCCCTCCCATTCCTCAGACGACATGTCCATCCTGGGCCTCCTGCAGTGCCACAACGATGCCACCCGAAGGTTGCAGGAACAGCAACTCATATTCCGCTTGGGAACCCTACAGCCCAATGGTATCAATGTGGATTTCAAAAGTTTCAAAATCTCCCCTCCCCCTACCGCATACCAAAACCAGTCCAGCTCGTCCCTGCCTCCCTAACCTGTTCTTCCTCCCACCTATCCCCTCCTCCCACCTCAAGCCGCACCTCCATCTCCTACCGACCAACCTCATCCCGCCCCCTTGACCTGTCCATCCTCCCTGGACTGACCTATCCCCTTCCTAACACCCTACCTACACTCACCTTTACTGGCTCCATCCCCGCCTCTTCGACCTGTTTGCTTCCTCTCCACCTATCCTCTCCTCTATCCCTCTTCTATCCGCCTCCCACTCTCTCCCTATTTATTTCAGAACCCCCTTCCCCTCCCCCTTTTCTGATGAAGGGTCTAGGCCCGAAACGTCAGCCTCTCTGCTCCTATGATGCTGCTTGGCCTGCTGTGTTCATCCAGCC